ATTATTCAGGTAGATCTGTAGTAAACGCATTTTGCTCGAAATTGTGTTTTTAAAGTCGGTTGACAAGATTACTCGAGAACTACTCAAGCGATCTTCATGAAATTTTACACATGCTTTGAGATATTTAAAATAAAAATATTTCCAAAAATTTCAGAACTTCTATGTTAATAGTGTCTTTTCATAAAAAAAAAAAAAATTTTAATAAACTATTTCATTATTTATATGAGAAAAAAATTTTTGATAAAAGGCTGTTTACCAGAGGAAACCCATGCAGCCCTTATTGCTTTTTGATTTTTATAATTTTTTTTTGTATTAGAAAATATAAATTCACGTTATTAGATTACTTATAGATATAATTTTTTGCTCAACGGTTTATTTTCTCGGATGGAACTAGTGCATAGAATTCGGTTTTAACAAGAGAAGAAGGGTTAAATGCGGATGCAACCGAACATTTATACTYTTGCACATTGGTGCAAAATGTCAACCAATTTAGCGGAATCAAAGCAAGTCAATTATAAATTAATTATATAATATACTAGGTTGTCAAAAAAGTCTTGCAGTATTTTTTATTTACTTATTTTTTAAATTTTATAACGGTTTGATGACTTATGCCCAGCTTTTGACCGATGCTATGGCTGCTACTATGCCGGTCTCTTTCGACCAATTCACCGATTTAATCGCAATTTTCGACGACAGGCCTTCCGGAGCGTGGCACATCTTCGACCACCTCTACACCAGAACGAAAACGTTGAAACCATCGTTATGCGTTGGAAATGGAAACTGTATAGGGTCCATAAACCTCACAAATTTTATTGGCGGCTTGAGATGCATTTTTGCCTTTATCGTAGTAGTACTGTAAAATATGTCGTATTTTCTCTTTATTTTGCTCCATGTTTGCGACGCTATAACCCACGAACGACTTAAAAGAAACGACAACCAATCAAGCACGTGTTAGCGCGTGAAATCAGCTTTCCAAAAAGGTATATTATGACCCGATGCGACGAATAAAACTAGAACTACGCACTCTCAGCGCTAACTAACAAAAATACCGCAAGACTTTTTTGACAACCTAATATGTAATTTATATATATGGTAATTTATATTTAAATATACATTAGGGTGTTTTTTTTTTGAACTATTAATATTTTTTAGTCCCGTCACGAAGTTTCCTTGGAAAAAGGGAAAAAATGAAAAACAMAAATTCCTTGAGCATTTTAGCCCTTAATATTAAYATTAAGAAYTGGACCAAGCCCTGTAATAATTTTCCATAGAAAATACACTAGAATCCTGAGTTTTTATCTTTAAATTCCTACAGATCAGAGGTATTTTATGGCATCGCTTTGACTTTAGATGAATATTTCTCAGAATTGTTCACTCTACAAAAGTGTTCAGTGCAACAAAGTCGTAACTCACACCGGCGAGGTAGTACGGGGCTCTAAACCTGATTTTTCCTTCTTTTGTAGGAAATTTTATTTGCTATGAAAAAGGTCTAAGGTCAAAATCACTTCTCGAGATATTCTGCTTTACCACATTGTATTATATTAACAGTTCACATACTCATTAAATATTTCCTGAAATGGCCATCGTTCAATTCACACTGGCTCCAATAATTTTTCTCATACCCTCATAATTAGATATTGATTTATTGCACCTTTAGTAGTTTTTAACAGTACCGTTATATGGGGAATGAAGGGGGTCATTTTACAATTTCAGCAATTTTCACAATGTCGGTGGGAGTTCTTATAGTACTTGTTCTGAGCAAATTAGGTTGTTGTAGCATTAGTGGTTTAGAATATACGTGGATTAAATTTATTAAAGGGTGAGGCCACGCCCATTTTTCAAAATTTTTTGCTCTTGCTATTGCAGTTCCGTGTGCCAATTTACCGCCTTATAACTTAATTTAGAGTTTAGTTATGGCATTTTATGGGTTTTCGGTTTTTGCTAAGGAACCCGCACACCAAGATTTTATTTAACTTTCCCAACTTTTCCAGCTACCATTTATTTAAATACAAAACAAAAATGGACGATTCATAAAAATATTTGAAAGCGGTACCAGTACCAGTGTTCTCAGTGAAAATACTAGAATAATACATATGCAATTATTAAGGGGTGTTTTCAATAAGGTTTTATTTCCAAAACAAATAAATCTACAACTTWTAAATAGTGATATTCTAATAAAATTTTTCGCTAAAAAGCTCATAATGATAATCATTTCACAAACATTTCATTTAAAAGTTAGACGCAGTTAAAGTTATATACCAACTGTACTGCATTCTTATTGTACACCACGTCGTATGAGCAACATAGAGTATACAAWTTTCATTATAAATGCTCAGATCACTTCATGCATACATTTTACTGCGTACTTACTTTTTTACTTTTGAAGAATTGTTTTTATGGAAAAAACCGTTGCAACGTGTTGRACCTTTGTAGTAGAGCGGTACATTTTGTATTGGAATTTATATTTATCGAAGTTGTAAATTTACTTGTTACATACAGAGGAAAAGTAAAATGATTTGATCCCGGTTCAGATTAAAAGCAAAGCGTTTGTTTACGTTGGAGGTTTTGAAAAAAATATAATCAACTTGGAAAATAATGAACATCCTAATAATTATAGTTTAAAGTGAGAGACATTAAAGAAAAGGTACGTTCAAAGTGAAATATATATCCATTTCTAGAATTAGTAGCACTAGGTCATGTAAAACCATGTTCCAAATGCTGAAGTTCGGGTAGTAAATATTCAGTTATTCATTGAACCAGTTTTAAAATCTGAAATCCAACGAAAATAAATGAGTAAAGCTAACAAAGGAGCTGTCAATGTACTAGTCGAAACTTGTAGCTTTTTACTCGCAGGAAACAAGAAACCGCTTAACACACAACTAGTTTGTATTGAGTGCGCCAAATAAAAACCCCGAWAATTAACACACTTTTCAATTGTTATTTTATGCGCCGTTTATGCAACGTGTCTGGCATAAATGCCATGTCTGAAATTACCTGCTGACAGGAAAGCGTGTGCGCCGCAAAGTAGGCTACGAAAGTTTAAGCAAACTATATATATGTATGTGTAAAGAATACTAAGGATTCATAGGAACYACACATATTTGGTTATATATTTATATGTAATATAAATATATATGTACGCTTATATATAAATATGCTGAATATAATATAATACATGTGTGCGTGTTTCACTGTAATTTTACACACACACACACACATTGCTAGCTAGTTTAGCATGTGGCGACTTACGATTTTATGATGCAGCGCGGCCAACTCACGTTCCGTCACACGTCGGCTGGCTGCCTCGCGGCGTCKTTGCCGAAATTGACTGTATTTGTARGCCAAAATGACGCCGGGCAAGGCGAGCGCCTCCAATGGTGATTTGCGGCCGAATGGCATGCTTGCTACCGTTCGTTACTTAACGTGTTGTTATTATTGTTGTCTTGTCGGCTCTTTGTGTCTGCTCTTCCTCGTTTTATGYTTTTATGTTGAGCGTAAGTATTATTGCTTGTTACTTATTGTTGTTGCTATTTAGTATTGCATTTGGTATGTTTTTGTTGTGCTGTTTGGTTTTCTCGGCTGCCTTTTTGTCGGCAGTTACGTGCTTGCCTACCCAATTAGCTTAACCCCAATTGGGCGTACATATGTGCGAATTACACTATTACGCAATCTCATTTAAGCACACACACGCACAAATATATTTTTATATATATACACAATATATATTTATACAAATTCGTACACATATAAATATAGACTAATCTCGTTTCACTTGCACTTTCCTTCGTATTACTGTTGTTGTACTTTCTTTAGCAGCTCGCTGTTTGTTAAACTGAACACGTACTTCGTAACTGTATGTGTGCATGTATTGYCTGCACTTTTCCACAACACTAATCCTAAAACAGAATTTTCGGATTTTCTCGGTTTTTTACTTTTTCTTAATTTTTAAAAATTTTCTACGCTTACAACTTTGCGCTTTTTCACTTTTTTCTTCATACTTTTCCTTTATTTTTTTTTTTGTTTTGATTTGTTTTGGTTAATTCTGCATGCTTTTTTTTTGTTTTGATTTGTTTTGGTTAATTCTGCATGCTTTGTTTAGACTGAACCACTTAGAATTTTTGACAGCAAACAATTATTTTTGAAAATAATTACAATTTATTTTACTTTATTTCTGTGCTTATTTTAGTTTATTTTTCATATCCATCGATATAAYATTATAGAATATAAAACACAATTCACTAATGTATTAACGAACTGAAAAATTAATACTTTGAATTTTTTTTTACTTAGAGTCAATATTTCAATACGCCTTAGCAAAATTTCCTTATTTAAGATTTCAAAGCTAAATAAAGTAAAAATTGTTTCGAACATACATAGAGAGATGGTGAAAGGAATTTACACAACGGTCTTCATTTGTGACCTGGTCAACGAAAAGGGCGCTAAGGTGCGAAAACTAGTTTTCTGGGAAAAAGCTGTTAAAAAAAAAAAAACATCTCATCTTTCATCCGAATCAACTAAAAAGTGAAAACTGATTTTTTGACACCTAAGCCCCYTTTCCGTAGACCAGGTCACATTTACATATTCCACAGAAATAATTTTTTCTTGCTGTCGTTGTTGTAGACCTTAAGTCAGCGGTGGTTTCAGAGGGGGGAAAGGGGAAATTTCCCCCCTCCAAGGCCTATTGTCTTATTAGTAATTTTACTACTCTGAAAACCTATAAAGTAACAGAAATGTAATCCAGAAATTTGGCATTTTATTTCAGAAACAAAATTAAAGATTGTCTCCAACTTTGAATAAAATGAATAATGATAAGAAACTACTGAAGTTACAAAGAGTAACAGCGTATGCATAATAAATTSTTAATAAATCCAATCAGATCCGTAACTGAATGAGTTAAATTTGAAACGACGCGACTTGATAGAGAATTTGAAGTAGATGCTGCTTTCAGCTCCATCAGTGGTATGTTCGTTTCATACATTACGTTCGGTTTATCCGCCAAGTTTTCCGAAATAGAAAAATTACAGTGTGGAACATTTTTGGGATTATTGTCTGGGGGTTGAGAAATTCCAAGTCAGGGTGATGGTACTAGGTCAGTATAGT